AATAAAAGAACATATAATATAGCAAATCTTTTTAAAAAATCATATTCAAAGGAAAAATCATAATTTTCTGTTAAAATATTAATTATAGCATGATAAAATTTTAGAATTTGAAGTATCTTTTGAAATCATCCGGCCTACCTTTTCCGAGACTGTGTTCTCATATATGCTTCCAGGGTATTCCAAGCAATTAAATAGAATTCCATGAGAAAATGCTAATGCTAATGATATCTTCTCCCCAAAATATTAAATTTGAAATTGTGCATATACATTACACATTTGATACTTGCTTGGCAACTTTTGGGGGTTGAAAATAGACTTAGTTTCTTTGAAATATTCCCAAGCCCCTTTTGTCTAAACTAAAGGATATTCCATATGCCCAGACCCTATTTGCCAGACTAACATTTATAGATTCCTTCACAATGTTTCAATACCAAATATATTTTGTGGACAAATTGGTTTGGAAAGTGACAATCTAGTCCAACCTTTTCCTTTTGATGAAGTGACTTGTGCAAGGTCATTGAGCTTGGCCAGATCTTCCAGGATGACTCTCAGTTTGAAACCTGTGCCTTTTATTCCTTAGCTCTCACACATCAATTTCTCCATCTCCTAAGAGGTCTTCCTGTGTCTGTTCTCTCCCCTGCCCCAGTCCATCGTTCATAACACCTGCTACCATATTCTTCCTCATGCACAAAAATTGTCATGCCACTCTTCTGCTCAGAGATGGTCAGTGGTTCCCATTGCCTTTGGAGTAAAGACCCTTTTGCCTGGTGTTCACAAGACTCCTCACAGTTTGGTGCCCCCCCTAACCTTTCCAGTCTTATCTCTGAAACATACTTAATGCCACCATAGAGCTACAGAAAGACCATCTAAGCCTTCATAGGAACTGTTATGAAATAGGTATGAAATATAGATATGGGTCAGAAGACATTGAAAACTAGGGATTTCATAATTATTCTTCAGGCCTAAATGACCATTTTATTACAGTTGTCTGTGTGATTTATCTGTTGTTGAATTTCCCAGAAAAAATAGATGAATCTTATGGATTTAATTTTTTTTCAAGATTTTAAGTATTACGAAGATGCAGCTGATGAGTATCGAGACCAGGAGGGCACTTTGCTTCCTCTCTGGAAGTTCCAATATGATAAGGCGAAGCGCCTGGCCGTGACTGCCCTCTGCTGGTAAGTATTTTGGTTGCACCTTCAAAATGTTCTATGCTCCAAAAATGCCTGTTTCTTTAAACTGGGGTAGGTATAAAATGACAATCCCATGTTACCATAGAGAATAGTCCAGGCATGGAAGTATGTGTTGGACATTTGCCTTTGTACAAACATAGCTTTCCAACTAGTAAAACAATGCAAATGAAGGGGAACAAATGAAGATAGTTATTATCTCACATGCAGCTTATTTTAACTTCTTTCCTGGAGTAAGGTCCTTTATTTAATTCTTTCAAAACCTCAATAAGTGATTGGAGCTGCAAGATCTGTGCTTAAGTACCTTGTGTCCAATGGCCAGTTACTGATGGATATGTCAGATCAGTTGTTAAGGCACAGGGATGAAAGGATAGGTGACTTGATCAGCATGAGGGATCAGAAGGGAGGGAAGGAGAAAGGAGCAAGTAGGTATTAAGCACCTACTATGTGCCAGGTACTGTACTAAGTGCTTTACAAATATTATCTCATTTCAACCTCACAACAACCCTTGGAGTTAGGTGCTATTATTATTGTCTCATTTTACAGTTGAGGACACTGAGGCAGACAGAAATTAAGTGACTTATCCAGGGTCACCCAGATAACAGATGACTGAAGTTGGATTTGACCTTAGGTCTTCCAGACACCAGACTCATTACTGTATCCACTGTGCCATCTGAAGAATCAGGTCACTTATTGCCATAGAATATTCAAGTTAACAGGGACCAATTAGGAATCATTCAGTCTAACCTCATATAGAGAGAAAGAAACTGAGACCTAGAGAGATCAAGTAAACATGACCAAGGTCGTATGGGTATTTCATTGTAGACATTCAACTGTAGGCTACAATTCTAGCTATAGCCTCCTAGTTCTCAGTTCTGGCCTCCTTCTGCTGCAGCAGCATACAAGCACTTCTACTGTATTCTGATACTCAATTCCACCCAGAAGACGAGAGTTAGGAAGGTTTTCTAAAACAAGAAAACACTTCTGTTATGAATAAAAGAAATTAGAAAATCAGTTTCCAGAGGGCCCTAGAGATTTCTCATCATTGGTGAAGAATGACTAGGCCCTGGCATCTAGCAATATTTGCAGTGACTTGTATCTTTGCAGCAAGGGATGGAGACATGTTCTGTAATCATCTACCTGCGCAATAGGGGGGAGAGGAGAGGAGACACAGTTGGTTCAAGGGAATGGAATGCAGGGGTAGAAGGGGAACGAATTAAAGTGGATTTCATTTGTTTTATCCTCATCATGTTAGAAAAACAACCAGGGCATTGGGTGGCTGGCTTGGGGCATGGGTAGAGTAGAGCATAGGTGAAGTCCATGGTCCAGGGCAAGCAGGAGGCACCAAAAATCAGGAGGAATGACTTTTAATTTAGGGCACCTGGAGTCAGAAACTTTGGACCAAAAAAAGGGTGGACTGAAACTTTTTAGTACCTTGGATAGCTCTTTGGGAGAGAATTGACTCTGCCAGAGGCTGAGGTTTGACTGGGGGCCTTTATGTTCACACACCCAGGGCTGCTCAGTTGGCCTTGTCCTCTGGATGAAGTTTTCTAGTTGTCAACAGTATCTTTACTCAGCTAGAATAGGCTTAGATCTTCTGTGATAGAGAATATTACACATACCTCCAAGTATTTTCAACATTGCTATCCAGTGGGAGGGCAAGGTCTTCTGGCTTGATGTGGGACATCAGTGGGGTGGGGAGGAAGAATGCCCTTAGGAGCTAAGTAACAAGCGGATCAGAAGTAGCCTTTGTGGGATAGTTCACCCTCTGACAACCCTATCCTTTCAGGGCTGGGGATAGGGACTTAGACTATGGTTGTGGCCCCAACAGATGAGAATAGGAGACAAGTTAGTAGTCCCACTTATTGCCTCTTTAACAACCCTACAAACACAATAGTGCTTTCAAATATTCAGATTGTGTTTGGGGAGGGTGGTGTACAAGTCCATTCAGACTTGGGCTTACCCAACCACAGAATGGGGAGAGAATAGCGATTTTATTCTCTTCTGTCTTTAGACCCTGAATTCCTCCTGATTCACTTGCTGCATCTTGGCTATTTTCAGCTCCAGATTTGAATATTTCACTTAGGGCAAAGCTATGAACATAAGATGTAAGTTAGGGGGACTAGGAAGAAGCATGAAATATATAAATTTAGAGACTTGCTTAAGATTCATCATGAAGGAGGAGAAGTAAAAGCTATTTGAGAAAAAAAAATCTTCAAAGGGGAGAAACAATTCCCACTCAGACTGTAAGAATTTAGAAATTGCTGTCCTCGGTCTGCCCCATAAGCTACCCGGCTTATAGGTATTGCATAATGTATTTTCCCAAATAGATATTGACCTGGAGGGTAAGTTGACTTCCTGGTTTCTAGGTTCCATTCAAATAAGAAAGGAAGCCCTGAAGGGTCAGTAAAGTTGACTTTTCATTGAAAATGGTTAGTACTTGGCAGTTTTCTACTGACTTTATTTCTACCCAGGGACCTTTCTGTCAGTTATTAGCTCACATTTATATACTGCTTTAAAGTTTAATTTCCTCACAACAACCCTATGTAGTATTATTCCCATTTTCAGAGGAGGACAGTGAGGTTCAGAGAAATAAAAATCATTTACTCTTAATGTTTGGTTTCATTATTGGACAACATTTATTTAAATGCATTTTCCCTTGTTTATTTTATGTTCAATCAATTTTACAACAAAAAGTAAACCTAAACACACATCTATGTATATATGTATACATACATACATACATGTGTGTATATATGTATATATACACATATATATAGTATTCATAGCAGCTTATCAATAATCCTAAAACACATATACTTGTATGACCATATTTTACTTGTAAAATATGTATACATGTATGTATATTTACATGTATGTGTAATTTACCTGGTTTGTCAGTGTGGTATAGTATTATTATATTATATATTATATATAATAATATATTATAGCATAATGTAGTATAGTATAGTATTATTATCTCCACTTTTCATTTTACATTATTTCATATGTATAGTTCCATTTTTTATAGTCTTTATTACTTGTGGCAATATAATATTATAAGAGATTTATGTAGCATAGTATGCTTAGCCACACCCCAACTACTAGACCTTTATATTGTTGCTAATTTTTTTGTTTTTATATTTAATGCTGCTATAAGCTCACAAAGCACATAAACATGTACAAATAAACCTCCTTTTCTTTTTCTCTTGACATCTGAGTAATGGAGTTATTGGGTCAAAGGGTATGTATGGTTTTATGACACTTATTGAATATAACCAAATTGTTCTCTGCAAAGATTGCACTGACTTGCAGTTCTGCCATGGATTGGCCAACAATAGGTCCCAGTCCAAGCCCCGCTTAGTGGTCATTGTTTGGGCCCGGATAGCTCAGAATGAATGTAAATAGCAATTATTTCTGTTTTGGTCAGAAACCCTGAAGGTCTTCCCCTCCCAGATGGATTTTTTTTTTTAACTAGGTAAAAGAGGCCATTCTTTGCCTCATTTCTTACCCAGCCTTAATCACTGTAAGGGCATTGCCTTAGTCAAACTGAGACCTGGGAAAGACCGAGGTCTCCCAGTGCATCTAGGGCCATATCCAGTTGTCCTGATTTATATCTTACCACTGGACCCAGATGGCTTCAGAGGAGAAAGTGAGGCAGATGAAATCCAACTCCCTTGTAAGTCACCTCCATGATACCATGGTCCTTTTCAAGAATGAAGGGCAGACAACAGCTAGAATCTGAGTATTTCCCTTATAAATTTGTGTCAGTTCTGCTGTGAGATAGGATTTAACCACCTGGGTTCTGAATATAATTCCAACTTTTTTTTTAAATGGGTCTGACTTTTGTCCTCTTAGATTACATTTTTTTTTTACAGGAATCCAAGATATAAGGATCTGTTTGCAGTGGGGCATGGCTCTTGTAAGTTACAATTCATCTCTACATTAAAGGTACCCCAGTTAAACCACCCTAATATTCCCAGCCTCTGTTGTATGGCTAGTACAGACTTATTCTCACCCCTATTTTCTGGGTTATATAGTACTATTTGTCAAACCCCCACATGTTGAGAGCGGTCTTGAGCATGAGATGGTGCTTGGCCATCGAGCTCTAAAAATGATTACCACAAACTCCAGAACATTTCTTTTACAAATAGATTCTTTTCTCACATCCCTGTGTACAGAAGTGAAATCAAAGAGCTGATAAATAACTTCTGTACCAAGATGAAAGCTCACCCTTAACAATCTCTTTTTGGGGACAACTAGGTGGCATGGCGGATAGAGCACCAACCCTGGAGTCAGGAGGACCTGAGTTCAAATGCGACATCAGACACTTGACAGTTACTAGCTGTGTGACCCTGGGCAAGTCACGTAACCCCATTGCCTAGCAAAAAAAACCAAAACCAAACAAAAAACACAACAATCTCTTTTTCTTTTATCTAACATTATATTGGGTATATTCTTGTCGAAGCTAAAGTTCCCATCTTTTGTCAGTCTTCTTTGGGGAACCATTTTCCTTCCATCCAGAACCCAGAAGCCTAGTCCCTGCCTTGCTGAGGGGATTACCTATTGCCTCAAGATTACCTATTTTATATTGCTTTTATTCATGATTTAATCCTGCAGCAGTACAATATAGCCTCTAACCCAAAACTGCAGAAACACTAGGCTAGATTTAAGATGACTCAGGTGGGTAAGAGCAGCAGCTGAATTGAGAGGCCTAGTGTCAGGGATCAAGGAATAGATAATCTATTTTCTGCCCTGGTTAAACCACAACTGGAGTATCATGTTTAGTTCTGGACCTTCCATTTTAGGAAGGATATAAAAAAGATGGAGAATATTCAGAGGAGGGTGACCAAGGATGGAAGACCTTGAAATTATGCCGTATAAGAATCATATAAGAATCAGAGATGGTTAGGTGGTGCAGGGGATAGAGTGCCAGCCCTGGAGTCAGGAGGACCTGACTGCACATCTGGCCTGAGACACTAGCTGTCTAACCCCGGACAAGTCACTCAATCCCAACTGCTAAGAAAAAAAAAAAAAAGGAAAAGAATCAGGTGAAGGAACTGGAAATGGCCAGCTTGGAGATGAGGTTCAGGGGGAGCACGATAATCATATTCACGTCGATATGATAGCTGTCATGTGAAAGAGGAATTAGTCTCATTCTGTTTGACTCCACAAGGCAAAGCTAGGTATTGATACAGAGAGGCAGATTTAGGCTTCATGTATAGAGAAATTTCCTAACAGTTAGATCCACCCATAAGTGGAATGTGATGATTATCTGTATTACTCTCAGAAGTTTTCTCTCCCTAGACTTCCGTAGGTATGTGTCTATCTGATTTCATGCAAACACCAGCAACAACTTTTTAGCCACTGCATTGCAATAAAAGCATGTGTTTTCGGGGAGAGGAGAGGATTGATGGTAATAGAAGGGGGAAGAGTCTTTAAACAAAGGCTAGATGACCATTTGTTAGATATGTTCTAGGGCCTAAACAAGACTTTTTTTTTTAATATGGATTAGATTAGGGGGCCTCTGAAGTTCTTTCTGCCTCGAAGATTTTATGGTTTAAGCATGTTCCCTACAGCATCCTAGATCCCGGCCAGAGTCTTCTGAGATTCAGCCTGCTCCTTAGCCATTCTCCTCACTTCTCTCCTTTGTATCTATAAGGACAAGCTTCCACCCCTTTTAGCCAGTGGCCTAGTGCCCAACTGGCCCAAATCTCCTTCCCATCTCGTGTCATTGGCCATCCCATTGAGAAATGGTTTCTACGTGAAGCACTCCCTTCATGTATAAGAGTTATTCACACTGTATGTTAGCATCAGTTCCAGAATGTTAATATGTGTTTTATTTTGTTTTCTGGCATAGAGGACTAGATTCTCTGAACAGAAAAGTCTTTTTTTTTTTCTCTCATAAAAGGGACAGATAGGGTACTATGGTGAGCTCTGGGACTCACAAATGTGCTGTTTGGCTCAAATTCCCTTAGGGCTTCAAGCTGTTTGGGGGATGTTTTTTATTTTTCCCACCAGTGAGAACCTGGTGCTTCTTGGGGTCTTGTGGTTTCTGCTGTCTTTGAAGATGCCCTTAATGCCTGCTTTGTATCCCACACTCCCAGTGGGTGGATTTCTGCCAAGGAGGAAGTGCGTTTGCTGGTCCGGGGTTGGGTCTAACTCTGTGTGCTATGCTATGCCCCAAACATTATTCAGGTTTGATCAAATGACTCTGCAAAGTTTAAAGCCATATACATTTCTCACAGAAAAAATGGGATGATAATATTCATTACTGTTATTTCACCTGTGATTATGGTCCAATGTGATTATTATCTACAGCCTCTATTATTTTAAAAAACAAAGTAATGTTTTATTGTAAACTTTAAAACCAACAAAAAAGAAACAAGCTCTAAATGGAAGCACCCATAAAACCATAAAATTTAAGCTGCTTCCAATTTGTTAAAAGGAGTATTACATGTAGATATAAAGCCTTCAACAAAATCTCTCATTTGCTTTTGTGTGCACTTGTAAGCGCTTTTCTATGTACTTATTATATTTGTTGTGTTATTTCTATGAAGTTGGAGTCGATACGTATGCTATTCTGATTCTACTTTATTTGCCCAGCATTGGCATATCTTCCCATATTTCTTTGTTTTCCTCATATTTGTCATTTTTATGGTGTGATAATATTCCATTACATTGATAGATTGTAATTTGTCATGTCCCTAATTCCTCAACTGTTGGACAAATAAACTATTTTCATTTTTTTCCTTATTACACATAAAGCTTCTGTGAATGTGTACAAAAAAGTGTCTCACCCCCCCCCCTCCCCTTTTGGTTGTATAGTGTATTTAAGTATGCTAGTATACTTAAGTAGAGTAGGTGGGATCACCTGGGTTAAAAGGTATAAGTTTTCACAGATTTGCCCAGTTTAGAGTTGGAATGGACCTCAGCCATCTAGTCCAATCCATTCTTAAAAAGGAATCCCTATTATAACATACAGTCAAATGACAAATAGTCATCTATTCTCTGCATAAAAGACCTCCGTTATGGAGAAATGTGTTGCCAAGGTGGCTCATTCCCTCTGGAGGTAGCTCTGTTAGCAAGCCTACATTTGCTTCTTTTAACTTCTACCTTTTGCTCTTAGTTCTGCCCTCTGGGACCAGATGAAAGAAGTCTTAATCCCACTTCCTGCATGACAGCCCTTCAAGTACTTGAACAGAGCTGTCATGTTCCCTCCCAGTCTTCTCTTCTCCAGTCTAAACATGCCCAGTGCCTTCAATTTATTGTCATATCACCTGGATTTAAGGCCTCTTGCTGTCCTGGTTTCTGTCACCTGCACACTCCAGATGAGCAATGACCTTCCTAAATTTTGGCATCATACTCTAGATGTGGTTTGACAAGGATAGAGTTTGAAGGGACTCTCACCTTATTCCTTGAAGTTGCATTTCTTTTAATGTAGCCCAAGTACATTAGCTTTTTTGGCTGCCACATCCTACTACTGATTCACTTTTGAGCTTACAGCATACTAAAACCCTCAGATCTTTTTTTAATATAAACTGTTGTTTAAACATGTTTTCCCTAGCTTGTACTTTGGAAGATGATTTTTTGAACCTAAGTGTAAGACTTTACATTTATTCCTTTTGAACTTCATCTGATTAAGCCTGTTGTAATCCTGTCGTGATCTTTTTAGATCTTGTATCATCTAGTGAGTGAGTTATCTATCCTCCCCTGCTTTGAGTCATCTTCAAATTTGACAAGTGTGCCATCATGCCTTTATCTAATTCATCTATAAAAATGTTAAATAGCACAGAACCTGGAGCACTCTACTAGAGACCTCCTTCCAAACTGACATTGAACTCTTCATGACCACACTGAGTCCAGCCATTCAACCAATTCTGAATCCATTTGATTGTATTATCATCTAATCCAAAGCTCTCCATCTTTTCCACAAGAATAAAATGAGATACTTCCCCAAATAACTTTGCTAAAATCTAGGCAAACTTCATGTACAACCTCCCCTGACCTTGTACTCTTTATTGCCAAATCGCTACCCCAAAAGATTTTAATACATCAGTTTCTGTTATGTAATAAGACATCTGTTTTTATGCTGATCAGGCACCACTAAATTTTATTATTTTTAACTATCTTTATCAATGTGATGGCTATAAGATGGTACCTCACTATTGTTTTAGCATATATTTCTTTGATTATTAGGAGTTTAAACAATTTTCAAGAGATTATTTGCAAATTGTGTTTCTTCTTTCCAGACCTATGCTTATATTATTTAACTACTTATCTATTGAATGATAATGCCCAGACAAAAATAATAGATGAAAGTTATATGAACAAATATATGAAAAAGTATTTATTATATGTGTACTATATTATATACATATATATATATGTTATATGTACACACACATATATGTAATGCTTTAAGATTTGGGAAGCAGTCAAGAAACATTAACTGTGTGCCTACTATGTGCCAGGCATTGTGCAGGAGGAATAGAAATACAAAGAATGAAATAATCTTTACTATCCTAGAGCTTACATTCTTGTGAAGGAGACCATAAGTACATATATAAGTATTTACAGAATAAATGTAATAGTAGTTAATAGTAGTAGAATCATTCTCTAGGAATAGAGAATAAATACAAAATAATTAAATACAAGGTATTTTTGGAGGGAGAGGAGCTAGTGAAGTTGTCATCAGAGTGTAAGGAGGAGAGTAACTAGGACAGAGTGTGGGGAAAAAGTCACAATTACAGAGTGTGATGTGGATGGTAAACCAGTAAAGAAGACTGAGAAGTGGTCTGACAGGTAGAAAAAGAACCAGGAGAGAGTACTGTCATAAACTCAGAGAAGAGAGATTATCCAGGGGAAAGGGTGCAACAGCACACAGGTCAAGAAGAATGAGAACTGAACCAACTATCAGAC